AACCGCGGTCCCTGATGCTTTTGCTAAGCTTGTTCTAAGTAGGTGCTTTAGACCACTGAGCCATCTCTCCAGCCCCTGTATTGTTTTCTTAATCTCAATTGTGTTCATTTCTGCTCTAGTATTTATAATTTCCTCTTTTATATGGGCTTTGAGCTTGACTTGCTCTTCTTTTCCTAGAATTTGATATGTAACATTAAGTGATTTATTTGTGCTCAGTCTGTTTTCCTAATGTAAGAATTCATTGTTATAAATTTCACTCTGAGTACTTTCATTGCATCCCACAGCTTCTGGTATGTTGTATCTTCATTTTTATTTTATTGTAGGTGCTGTTCAATTTCATCTAGGACTTACTGGTTGCTAATGAGGGTGTTATTATTTTCTATGTGTTCATGGGAAAGTTCATACTTTCTTTTCCTATTAATTTCCAATTTCATTGCATTATGGTCAGATAATATTATGGGATAATTTCAATTCCTTTGCATTCAATAAAGCATGCTCTGTGGGCTAACAGATTGTCTCATTTACAGAACATCCTATGTGCTACTGAGAAAAATGTATTCTGATATAGAACACTATATACATCTACTAAGTCCATTTGTACACAAGTTTGGTTGAGATCTGATATTTCCTTGCTGATATTTTTGCCTAATTGGCCTATTCCTTCATGACAATGGAATGTTAAGGTCCCCTAATGTAACTGTATTATTGTTTATTTGATTTTCTATGTCCATATTTGGTGTATACATATTTATGATTATTGTCTCTCCCTCTTGAAGTTTGTCCCTAACAAATATGTTGTGACTTTTTTTCACCTCATTTTCTCATTCTTGGTTTAAAGTTCACATTGGCATGAATTGAATAGCTGCCCTTGCTTTTTTCTGGGTTCCTATTGCATGGAGTATTATTTTCCGTCCTTTGACTTTCAGTCTATGAATTCCTTTTTGAGTTAAATGTGTTTCTTGCATATAGAATATTGTTGGATTTCATTTCTTGATCCATTCTGCCAGTCTTTTTCTTTTGATTGGTGAATTTGGGCCATTTACTTTGCTGGCCAGTTATATTATAACTGATATGTATTGGTTTATCTTTCTCATGTTTTTTCTTGCTGTTGGTTGCCTGCTTTTTCCCTCTGCTTAAATTTCTTGCCCTTCCTTGTGGTTTCTTTCTATTGTTGTTCTTGGAACTGTGGTCATTTTATCTCTGTCTAGACTATCTTTCAATATTCTTTGTGGGGTTGGTTTGTTGGTCATGAATTTCCTGTTGTTCTTTGCCATGGAAATATACTATTCTCCATTAATTTTCAGAAACAGTTTTGCAGAGTACATCAATCTGGGCTGGGAGTTGCTTTCTTTCAGGGCTTGAAATACTTCACTCTGAGCCCTTCTTGATTTGAGGGTTTGCGTTGAGAAGTTTGTCTTGATTCTAATGGGCTTTTCTTTATAGGTTGTCTGTTTTGTTTCCTCTAATATCTTGTGCTGAATTTCTCATATCTTGATTATTATGTTTCTGGGTGTAGATTTATTTGTCATAGATAATTGTCATTTTGCCTCACTTATCTGTTCCCATGTTTGGGAAATGTTCTGCTATTACTTCTGCAAATAGTTCTTTATGTCACTTGTGTTGCCTTTTTTTCATTGACACCTGTCAGTCTTTTCTTTTTTTTCGTTTTTTTCCCCTCGGAACCAGGGATTGAACTCAGGTCCTTGCGCTTGCCAGGGAAGTGCTTATTCTACTGAGCCATCTCCCCGGCCCCTGACACCTGTCAGTCTTATATTGTTTTACTTTGCATTACCTTGCAGCTGTTGAATTGTCATTTCTTGGTCTCTTGTCAGTTTTAAGAGATCTTTCCTTTAGCAATTGCTAGCTGTGATCTTTTCAAGGTCTGAGAGTCTTTCTTCAGCTTCATTAAAGCAGTTTTGGGCTGGCCAAATAGCTCAGCCAATTAAAGCACTTGCAAGCAGGCACAGGGGCCAGGGACTCGGCCCCACCCCCAGGGCACGCTGAGATGACAATTGAGATTGGGCATGGTGGCATGCCCTTGTAATCCCAGCACTTGGGAGGCTATAAACAAGCAGATCACTGTGAGTCTGATCTAATAGTGAGATCCTGAACACTCTATAGACCTATCCCTAAAATACAAAAAAGAAAAAGCAGTTTTGCCAAGTTTCAATAGAATGTTTAATTTCCTGTATATCTGTTTGAATCCATTTAATGCATGCTATTTCTTTCTTATGCATCCATGATCTTTCATGATGGCCTTCATTTTCTTATGATCCTCTATTTTTTTATTTTTCATTAATTTTAATGAGAAAGAAATAGCAATGAGACAGTTTCAAAACAGGTTAGTAGGACAGCTACAATAATTAATACATTGCATATTGTTGTCTTCATAGTAGTTATTCATAGAACAAGATGCATACATAATCTCTTATTTAAACAATATTAGTACTAACCTTTCTTCTCATTGAACCAAGAGAAAATAACTCTATATCTACCCTATTTTGTATATACATATGTATTTGTTTTCACTACAAAATGATCTTTCATTTATATCCCCCTTTTTTTGTTTTGTTTGGTCAGAGATGGGTGTTCCATTGCTGTTAGAGAAGCTAAATTTGGAGAAGTCTTTAAAGGACCTATACATATTTGATTCCAGTTCAAATATTGTAGGTACTTGAATTCAGTAAAATATCCCAGTAAAATCTAGTAGTCCATAATAATTTTGGATTATCAGCAGAGATGGCAGTTGTCAGAAGTTGTTGCCTTGAGCCTTTTACAGCTCAGCATATTAATATGGCATTACTTTTTATACCTTGTGGTTATACTTTTCTGCTGAATGGTTAAGACAAAATTAAAGCAAGACATATATAACTAAAAATATAATTTTCTATCCACCAAGCTCAGTCAAATCTCCTCAGTATTTACCCTGAAAATATGTACAGCAGCTTGTAGACCTATTGTCAGTGTTAGCCATCTGGAAGAGTCATGCCCATTGCTTGACCAATTTGCTGTCTGTGAAAGCGTGAGGGAATTTTTTCTCAATAGGTGACTCTCCTTAGGTACACTGTACATTGTCGATCACTTTCCTCTCTGGCCCCAGAATCTTGAGCAGAGAATTTGGGACACCACTGAGTTATAGGATGTCACAGCACAGGTTCTCTTATGTCCTGAGTCCTCACTGACCTTGAAGGGATAGGGCCAAAATATTGGCTATCCTTGTAGCCCTTCTTTTTCTCTGATTTTTGGTCTCAAATTTTAGTTGTTAACCATCCAGAAGAGAAGCTTAATTATATTATTATCTTTTTTATCCTCTATTTTTAATCTATCTTTACTCTAGATTTACTGAGCATTTCCTTTATGACTGTTGTCATTTCTTTTTTACCCAAAAGATTATTTCTGACTTTATCTTCTCTATAGTCTCATGGATTTGTTTCTTTACTTCAATTGATATCATTTCAGAAATTCAGGTGTGTGTCTTCCATTTTCTTCTGGTTCATTGTATTCTGGACTTGTTCTGGGTGGGCTGGTGGTCTGAGATTGCATTTTGCTTCTGTATCCTGTCCTTTTCAGTTAGAAAATTTATTGTTTTGTTTCTGTGTTGATCTTTGTAAGTTTTGGACTATTAAGTCCTCTCTAAGAAAAGTCTATTCATCAGAGATGTCTTTTGCCTATAGGAGGTTCTTGGTTTGTGTCTATCCGAAGATCCTCCCTTCCCAGTTAATTGAGAGTGAGGTGTTGGGTTTCTGTTTGATTCAGTCCCCAGCTTTTTGTTTCTGGAATATGGTGAGGTTATTACCCAAGAGCTTCCCAATACTGTTACACAACTGAGAATA